CCAGAGGAAATCTACCGACTGCCAAGGTTTGACGCCTAGGCAGTCGAGACCTCTTATTGAGACCCTTTATAATAATAATAATAAGTAGGAATTTATACATCGCTTTATAGCCATAAAGAACTCAAAACCCAAAGATTCAGTTCAAACCATCTAAAGCGACTCATGAGTAACATGTACATAAGAACTTATTTTTATGAAGTATGGATTTTATGAGAGAGGTAATACATGATACTTATACAAATACGTTTTCAAAGAGATGAGTTTTTAGTTTCTTTTTAAATAAGACGATATCAGTTAGTGTCCTCAATTGATAAGGAAGCTGATTCCAAACAGAGGGTCCGCAGTAGCTGAAACTTCTTTCGGTTTTACTATAGTTTGAAATAGGAGGAACATTTAGGAGGAAATAGTCTTCTTCAGTTCTTAGTACACGTACAGGTTGACTCTTGATGTCAATACATTTGGTGATATACTCCGGCGCTATGTTGTTGACGCATTTGAACACGGTTAGAGCAATCTTATACTCTATTCGTTGTCGTATTGGAAGAAAATGGGCTTTTTTCAGGAATGGAGTGACACTGTCCCATTTTTTGATAGCTTTCCAACCAAACAAGAATCGAACACAGGAATTTTGTACCTTCTGGAGTTTCTTTATGAGAAGATCGGGTAAACCGTATAAGAGTCCATTGCAGTAGTCTAGTTTTGAAAAGATCAAGCAGTGAATGAGCTGTCTTTTTAGATCATAGTTAAGCTTTGAGCCTATAACTCGAAGGTTCCTCAGATGGATGTTGCAGCAACTGATAATTGAATTTATTTGATCTTCAAATGTTAGGAATTGATCAAATAGGACACCTAAACTTTTCACTGTGCGGGATGCCTCCACAGGGTCAGCTGCATTGTCAAGTTGTATTGAATCGACTGGACATGAAGAGTAACTGTTCTTGGTCTGTACTACAAGAGCTTCTGTTTTGTTTTGGTTCAGTTTGAGTTTATTTTGGGTCATCCAGGTTTTAATATCTTCAAAACAATTTGTTATTCTCTCTTCGATTGTTGACAGATCTCGAAATAGTGGGTTAAACTCAATGTACAGTTGAGTGTCATCTGCGTACATATGGATGTTAAATCCATGTCTCTTTGCGATCTGATTGAGCTCCTTTGTGTAAAGTATAAACAGAATTGGACCTAGAATTGAACCTTGCGGGACTCCAATTCTAAGGAAGCATCTCTTTGATCTTGATTTATCAATAGTTACTGTGAAGGATCTGTTATTAAGGTATGATGTAAACCATTCGAGAACAGTACCTTCAAAACCAAAGTCCTTTTTTAGTTTTTTTAGGAGCAAGTGATGATTTACAGTATCAAAAGCAGCACTGAGGTCCAAAAGGAGGAGGATAACCTTGCTTTTCATGTCACTGATACAAAGAAGATCATTGTAGATGGTAAGGGTTGCAGTTTCGCAGCTATGATTTGACCTATAACCACTTTGATGCTCAGCATGAAGATTGTGATAGTCCAGATGTTTGGTCATCTGTTTCTGGACACTCTTTTCAATGAGTTTCGAGAGGAAAGGTAAGTTACTAATTGGTCTATAGTTGTTGAAGCTATTGACATCTCCTTTATCATCTTTGATGGCTGGTCTGACAAGAGCACTCTTTAAGACTGACGGAAATTTTCCAGTGACAAGTGAGTCATTGATAATAAATGACACAATTGGTTTAACTTCATTAAAACACTGCATTAGAAGTTTTAGAGGGATGGGGTCCTCTTCACATTCTTTTTTGTTAAGTTCAGAAAGAATCTTTTTGAGATCATTGTCGCTTATGGTTTCAAATTGGCTCCAGGCTTCACCTTGAAATGGTTCTGAGTGGTCAAGTAGAGTGTCAGCTGCAGTATCATTGTTAATGGCAGAGTAAATCTTTTCCACTTTATCATTGAAAAACTCTTTCATCTCCTCACATAGAGTTTCAGCAGGTTTGTTATTAGGCTTCAAGTTTTTAGATATGTCCCGATCCATTAGCTGATTGACTATTTTGTAGGTATCTTTTTTATTGTCCTCACAGCTTTGCAGACGATTTTCATAGTATAGCTGTCTAGTGGTGTTTATAACTGCCTCAGCATGCTTAACAGCTTTTTTATAGTCCAATTTTGAATCTGCAGTTTGTAGTCTCCTGTTGTCTCGTTCAGCTTTTCTTCGTTTCCTTCTGGCAGTTTGACATTTTGTGTCCACCCACTTGCTTTGATCAGGATTAATGCTAAAACAGATAAGGGGAGCATGTTTATCAAGAATTCTGCGAAGTTCTTTGTTATAGAGTTCTGTGGCAGAGTTGCAGTCAATAAACTTGTTGGGGTCATTTATGTCAGATAGCAACAGATCCTCTTTGAAAAGACTCATGTCTATATCTGATATCTTTCTGCCCACCATATCTTCTTTGTTGCTTCCTTTGTGGTGAGGAAAGGCAATAGAGAAATTTACGAAGTAGTGATCTGATGTTGTTACTGTTTTAGCTACATTTATATCTTTTATGTTCAACATATCACACGCATTGCTTCTAGTAAGAACAAGGTCTAAGATTCCACCCCCAATGTGTGTTGAACTGGAAATATGCTGGATGAGGCCATAGTTTGATATGAGATGGATAAAATTTATCGTATCAGGATCAGTGAGGTCTTCGACATGGATATTGAAGTCTCCAGCAATGATCAGTCTACCTGGAAGGTGAGTTAGACTGTCAAGATATTCATCAAATTCCCGTAAAAAGTCTGTCATTTTGGACATTTTAGCCGTACAAGATCGATAGACACAGCAGAAACGAAGAAGGTCATTGGAACTTGACTTCAGCACACACTCAACATGTTCGAAGGATTTATGGGTCTTTGTAGGGCGTTTATTGAAGCTAAGATCTTTCTTAAAGGCAATAGCGACACCACCTCCTCTACCAGCTCTAGATTGGTGAACAATATTATAACCTAGGTCTTTAATTTCCGCTATTTTTGACGTATCTCCCTTACGTAGCCAAGTTTCTGTCAGGAAACAGGCATTAATATTGGAGTCAGACAGTTGCTCAAATACTTGTGCAGTTTTATTACATAGTGACCTCGTGTTAAACAGTCCGACATTTAGGTTGAGAAGCGTAGTCTTTACATGTTTTTTGAGTACTCTGTTCTTTGTCGAAGACTCTCTTTCTCCAGCAATATGATGGGACAGTTTTCAGCACCAGAGTGATGGGTGTTACAAGATTCTCTGTATGATTCATAAGTGGAGTGTGAGCAGTTGGTGCATCTGTGACTTCTTCTGACCTCTTTGTAGGGACAAGCCCGGGTTATGTGTGATGCACTACAATACATACAAATAACATCAGTTTCCTGGCACTGAGATGAAATGTGTCCCAGTTTCTGACATCGGAAGCACTGCTTAAGATCAAATCTATCAACTACTTTACATCTGGAATTTCCTATGTAAATGGACTGATTGTTTAACAGGAAATGCCTTATATCAGGAGACACTTTAATCCCAACAGTAGTGTAGTCTCTTCCATAATTGACATACACAACTTTAAATGTTCTATCATGCTTGGTCACCAAATCTTTAACATATTGATTCTTTTCCAGAAGCTTCACTTCCATGAAGGTTTTAACCTTCTCTCGAAATTCAGGAACTGATAGATTTTCAGAGACAATGTGGGAGATTAAGTTGTTTGGAATATTCGTAACTGTGACTTTCGGGAACATTTTCTTTGCATCATTAACAGTGATTTTGGACGAAGTTACAGCTGATGAGTTTGCAAGGGCTATTTTCCCATCCTCTCTATCTTTTTCTGAAGGGAAGGAGATAACAATTTTGCCTGTCTTTGGTTTAGGGGTCAAGAAGATCATGGGTATTGTACCAAGGGCTTTGCTAGCTAGCTTTCCTGCTTCCTCAAGATTAATATTACTAGCTTCTACATTGAGGACGATAACATGATTATCAGGAGCATTATTATGGATATTGTCAGAGGGAAGTTTTTGCATAGGAGTTTCCTTCTTGGTTAGTTCTATGTAGTTCTCAGTAGCAGTACTAGTCGGGCTATCTATAGCCGATTCAGGAGACAACGCAACACTGTAGCTCTTTGAAGATGAAAGTGAACTGGTAGACTTCATTGGACAAGCACTTAAAGAACTAGATGTTTGCAGGGCTAGGGCTGATGCACTACTAGGGATAGATGATGCACTACTAGGGGTGCTGGATCTTTGTGTAAGATTTGGTACTTCTGTGAGCAGAGAATCTATGTGTGATTTAAGTTTGATGGAAATAAGTTCTTCTACACTTGACACTAAACTTACTTTAAAATTGCTCAAAGTTTCAATCAATGTCTTCTCATCTCCATTGCTGGAAGTTGTATCAGTGGTGATACTAGCCCCACTTTCAGTGCTAGCCACACTCCCAGTGCTAGCCACACTCTTGGTGCTATCCATGCTTGTATTACAAGTTGAGTCCGCAGTTTTAACAGCAGTTTTTGCAAGGAGAGCTTTCTTACAGTTAGGACATGTCCAGCCAAAGTCACCATATCTTTGGGAATATGTATTACCGTATTTGTGAATAACTGGCAAAATATTCGTCAGGAAAGTCCGTGCACAAATAGACGTGGGCATAAGTGTGCCAGCCTTATCCTTACAACATGCGTGGAAAACGTCTTTACATATCTGACAAGAAATGGACTCATAGGCCATGTTATCACTTTTACAGCGACAACACAGCCCTTGGAGATTAAACTTGGGGACTGCTTTTGGGTTAATGGCACTTTTCTTTGGAGGGGCTTTAGAATCTTTAGAAAAATCTTTAGAAAAATCTTTAGAAACATCTTTAGAAACATCTTTAGAAACATCTTTAATCTTTAGTATAGGTTTTTTTGATTTAACAGTACCTTTTTCTGAGAGCTTCTTTCTCTTTTTCTCTGCTTCTTCACTGCTGGGCGTTTGGCCTGCAGCCTTGTCATTTGTCATAGCTTTGAGGCTCGGGATCATACCTCAAATTATTTGTTATATAGTAGTGTTGAAAGTATTAATTTATTTATTTATAATTAAAAGACCGGACAGATTTATTCAATATAACTTAATAAAGTCCATAGCATAGAGTTATCTCTTAATCATATAAATTGAAAATTTAATAGAGTCAGAGTATTTAATTTGTTTAGGAAAGATAAGAAAAATCGAAACTTGGTGTAGTTTTCTAAGAAATTAATAATCTAATGTACAAATTATCTACCTTCTTCTTTACGGTATACCTCTCTGGAAACAAACAAGCAAACAAACACATTATATATGCTACTAGCTAAACTGTTAGAATATTCATAAAGCCTAAAGGCCGAGGTCCAAGAGTCTAGTTGAGACCTGGGCCGCATTGAGCACTGAATTTTGCTTTCCGGAATGTTCCCCCAATTAATTGTACACACATAATATATCCAGGGCATCATGTAAATAGAAACGCTATTGTGACTGTAGTGCTTAAATCACAACAATGTTACGCAGGAATCAATAATAATACTGAAACATTTAACTCGGAAGTTTGGCACGGTTCCAGTTTCCTTCAATTCCAGTAAAATTATAAATCACGAAATATGGACCATTGGGAGATGTCAGCCCCAAACCAGAGCCCATAGGAAGTTGGAGAGGGAAATTAAGAAACTAAGGGTCATAATTCTAGATACCCTTACCTGACTAGCCCCAGCTTAATTTGGTAAGGAAATTATATTTCCGAGGTTAGTAGGTTTAACCCAGGGTTATTATTTAATTATATAGCATAAGTAATTCAAGTACTATTATACTACTACTATGTAATATTAACAGTATACATCGTCCCAAAAACAAACTTCTTCATGATTGGAATGATAGTGATTATATGTACGTCTCAACGGGGAATTTCATTCCATGACTAAACACCCACGCCAATAGGACACAAACGTGAAACGCGCACATCACACATGACATACGCACACACGACACATAATATGGTGTTACTATTTTCGTACACTGCCAATTACTGCACACGCACACACACACACACACGCGGAGTGTAGCGTTATGTACTATATTTGTCACAAATTATCAGTTATATTACATGTCTTATGTTATCAGACATGTACTTTGTCTTATGAGATTATTACTTGTGTCTCACGTTACTGAATATTATCTGTGAAGCAAATTGATTTAAAACCTGAAGTGCCCTATTTTTAGCTGAGTCAAAAGTTTTCTATCCGCTTCAAAATGGCCCCTTCAGTGTTATTTCACCTCACAGGAGATTCTCTGACTGAATAACTTCTCAGTTGTACACTTCGATTACACAGAATAATGACAATGATCACATATAAATGGACAAGATATTGTGACGTGGTATTGTTAAGGTCACATTTTTAAAATCATCTTGGTTATCAACGTTTGAGAAATATTTCCATACCAAGCCAAACTACGAGTTCAACCCGTAAATGAACGTTTAAAGACATGAGAACTGAAAAGTGCACTATAAATAAATTCAAGTACATTTTACACTTGTTACTCTTGAGTGTAGGACACAGCACATACTTCTACATTCTCAGTTTCAACAACACTGCCCAACGTAAACGCTTTACTATAATTATACTATTTCAGCAAGTCCAATCTTCATATCCAACATTTCTCACATTGCTATAAACTAGATTATATGATTTTATCAAGATAATACCGACAAGTATCCAGTAATTGATAGATTCAATGTATATTCTCGTTGCCAATACAGCAATGCTAACACACTACTATATATGTGAGCTTAACAAGGAAATACCACTGTAACGTATGTTAATGTGTTAATTTCTGTCTGTTTCTGATTAAAACAAACAACTTCAAGAGTAGACAGCTGCAAGCTCACGAGTGGGAAATTAGATTTGCGGGGAAACAAACAACTGTTAAAAATAACTTTAGATTTGTTTGGAGAGGCGAATCATACACAGTTTAGGCTCTTGAAATCTTCGATATAAAAATCATCTTGAGAGAACCTCTTGAATAGAATCAAGTTAGGCTCATATTTAGGTGAAACAAAACAGTCTTAAAAACAAGACTGTCTTTTTAAAAACAGTCTTAAAAACAAGAACTGTTAAAAATGTCCACATAAAATCTTAATCAACCAGGTTTAACGTATAAATATGATAAAAGTGTAACATTTTAAACGTAAAATCATGATACATTATATCAAAATATTTATGTAAAGAATACAGACCAATGTAAATATAAAGGCTTAAATTTCAATGATGTCGGAAACGGCCATACTCGCTTGAATACACCCCATCTCGTTCGATCTGGGAAGTTAAGCAACTGCAGGCCGGGTTAGTACTTGGATGGGTGACCGCCTGGGAATTACCGGTGCCGTATCCTTTTGCAAACTTAGCTGAACGAAGATGCACGAATTTTTAACTTAATTTTGACAGGTCACTGGAACGAGACACTGGGCCCTTCCTAGCCCTGGCCTCAACTAACCAACAATTTTCTTTAATCAGAGTAATACCATCCACAACGTATTACTGTATTACATAATTTCATCTAATGATCATGTCTGCATTTCAAATTCATAAAACAATTAACGATACTACAATCATGCAATCACCTGATGATGGAGATAAGTTGTCCCATAGTGAGCTCCTCTGGTACCAGGAACTTGGTCTTGTCCAGAATTGGCAGGTTCTTCTCGTGTTTGTAGCGCTCCACGATGACTGGAGTCTTGTTGGGGTGTTTCATGCGGATGTCATCTACTTCTCGCTTCCTGCTCGCTGTAAGGTGTGGAAATGTTAGCGTTTAACTTATTGAAGGCACTGTTAGCAGCTTAAACAATATTTGAACACACGTACATAACTCATTTATAAAAACCAGCATATTCGGACAAAAATTGACATTTTGGTACATTTCTGCTTAATATCCTGATTTTCAAGTTGAGGGAATTATGATCAATTAGCTGTTAAATTGGTCAACAACTAAATTCTAAAGTAAGTATAAAGCCAAAGACCCACTAGTTAAACAAGGAATTGAAACTGTGGGGCTCGGTGCAGACCAACCTACCTGTGGCTAAAGCTCTAATATACAAAAACAATACATTGATAAAGATAATTTAACAACCATCACTGGCTTCTGGCCTAAATCACAGCTAAGGTTCTCCCTCACCAAATATTTTAACTTACCGAAGCTTTTGCGTTCTCTAAAACTCCTGGTAACGGGAGGCATCATTACATAACAATCCTTCTCACTGGTTCTTGGTGAAACTTTAATAATGGTGGTATTTGCTATAATAAGAGTTGATGTTAGTAAATTAGACTGTGTGTAGCATATATACTGCATTAGCATTATACTGCTTTAGCATATCATCTCTATGGAGATTTATCAATAAATCACTCATAATTATGATTTTATTCTTAGTATACAAGAGAGGGGGTGGGTCCCTGACAATAGATCATTATCTTGTAGACCATAGGCATAGGGCCAGGGGGCCCTTTATTTACTCAGTCTAGGGGAACAATTATCCAATATTTATACTGTACAAGTTACATTGGAATGTACAGTCAATAATTTATACCATTAAAGAATTTTCCTTGCCTCTCCAAGCTTATTGTATAAGTTTAGATTAGGATGACTCAATATAGGGTGTTTCAACTCTCAATATGGTCACTCATGGAAATTGATCTTTAAGATGTTTTCTGAAAGAGTAGAGATAGATCTACCAAATGATCTTTCAACGCAACAATAAGTTTTTCAATGAAACAATAAGTTTTATTTTACATTCCTTTCATAAATAAAATAAAAGCTTAAACCACGAATTAGTTAACTAGAAGTTAACTTGAGGAAATATTCTTTAGTGGTTGAATATAATTATTTTAAAAACTTTATTTGTTAGTATTTTATTATGGAAAGTGGTTGAATTTAGTGAGACAAGGTCAGTTTCTCTATTGTCTTAGAAAAATTTCTACTTTGCAGTAGGCAATGCTGAGTGGCAGGAATGAGGGACCAAAACGCTTGGGGCTAACAATGGCCCATTTACAAACCACTTCAGACATGGCAATGATGTCATTTATGCTTAATTCGTCTGAAACTGACCCTACTGCACTTCTAACATTCTATAAAAATCTCTTCTAAAATAGGTATAAAGATGCATAGCACAAAACACACAAACAAAAATGTTTATAATCCATATATAAATAAATTTCTATAGAACTTTAAAATTTCTATAAAACTGATAAACCTATAATTTATATATATATATATCTATTCATTTTGCACCCAGAGAAAGATGTGATCACAGAGGTAGTATCGATATTATGTTCATGACAAGGTATGGGGCTGCTGCAAGTTATATTTTGCTAAGATATTACAGCTTTTGTAAGCTTAAGTAATCTAGGCAAGGTCAATTTTAAAGTTTTTGAATTTTGTCGAACACTGTTTAAGGCTAAGTTCCAGTCATTTGGTTCTCCTTCCTTTTGAGTGTGAGCGATGGTTATTTTTATGGATGATTTGAGGTGATATGGCTTACTGTACAGGTGAATACAGTAGTTAACATGAGATTTTGTCGTACTGTGTTCCAGATTGTCCCTGCTCTGTATATGTAGCTGTCTGATGGTTTAGGTGTGAGAATGAGTGTCTCTTTGCCAAGTCTGCCAGATGTTTCAAAGAGGGAGTAAAGTGATATAGGGGTTCTATATTTCAAGACCTTGAAGATGTCATTAATACAGTGGTAGAAGTACAGATTATGCACATTCATGATTTCATGAGTGTTGAATCGAAGAGGGGTTTAGTATGCTCTTTTCTGTAGAATTCGTTGCCTTTAATTCTATTTAGCATGCCACAGCAGCTGGCTAGTTTTTTTGCTAATTTCTTTCTATGTGCGTTCCAGTTTCTTTATTAAAATCTTAGAAAAAAATATTGATCCTCATCAATGTAATGGTTAGAGCACATGTGTAATTCTATAGCAAACACACTGAACTTCAATTGTGATTTCCTACAAATGACCATTTCGTTACCCCTTTTTTTGGATTGTGCCAACAATTTTTATGGAATCACTCTGAAAAAATTCACAAGCATGAACAGAATTTACAGAGTTAGGCCTTTAAAAATAAAATGCTGACAATTGTAATGTTCACAGACTTTCTGTCATAGTTGTTAAATATAGGACATTAATTAAAGCCCACGTCAAAATTCTAAAATGGTGAAAGTTACTAAAATGTGTACTGTCTAGATTATGCTTGCCAAGTTTCAGAATGAAGTCATGATGTAAGCAGAATCTGGGAAACAAGTTGACAAAATACTTATTTGTTTCTTTGATTTTCAAGAAATCGTCGACGTCATTAAAATTTGCGTGTGCAACAGAATAAGTAATTACACTTACAGTTTACACGCTGACCTTTGATCGAACTTTGGTCAGGAAAAACTTAACTGAGGTACTACTAGCAAAACTGCGCGTTTTGATCTAGGAACACACTTTTTAAAAGATTTTTTCCTCTAAAATCACCTAATACATGTCCAATTTTAGGGACAACTGTTCGGCTGGCTAACAGTGAGCTATATCTAAGCTAATCGGAGTTCTAGAATTACGCGGGAAATTACGCGGGAGTAATTGTAGCTTGGGTCAGTTCGTTTTATGACGTGTCGACTACGTTTACTTAGTTACTTTATCCCTACCGTTTTATTACATTTTTTACTTTATCTACCTATCACTATACAGTATACATATTTAATCTTAAATGGAGAACGAAAATATTCAAACAATATACACATAATATAGCAATGACCCTATATAAAAATAATTATAACTATAAAAATTCTGTAAAAATGGTACAAATTTAAAAACTGAGGTAAAAATAAAACCCTTTGTAATAATATATGTAAAATCCACTAAATCACATCACAACAATAAGTAGTTTAGACCCCCCATCCAACAAGCACTCCATGACCTTTTAGGGTTTAAAAGTGTTGATCAGGTTAAGGTCCAAATCACTTATTGCCGTGGGTGGAAGGGTTCTGGTACCTCTGTACCCCCTGATAGAGATTATACAGGTTCTGAGTAGATCAAAACGCAGTCTGCGTCTGACAAATGACATCACATCACAATACCGTTGGCCTTTCTTTAGGCTGATCTTTTCAGCGAGATGTTTTAGGAACTGTGAAGCCTCAGTTGCCATTCCTTCTGTAGTACTGAACACCAGTGGCGTGAAGGAAGCCTTTTCGACATTTAGGACTCTGTCATTGTACTCACGTTTTTTGTTTTTCTCGTGAGATTGGTACATCTGTGAGATGCTCTTGTCACTGTTGGACTGGGCTTGAGGGTGAAGTACCCTTACATCTGTGAATGCCCTGTCCAGCGGCGACCAAAACGATCTCGCACTGATGTCCAGTCTTGCACCATCCTGTCTATTTGTTCCATTAGATAGTTCAAGTGTGTGAGGAACGGAGAGAAGCTGGGGTTCTGTTTCAACGTCTTTGCAAACAGTGGTTAGGAGTTCAGCTATTGTGTCTCTTAGTGAATTGTGTCTAAGTGAAACGTAGCCTCCGATTTTGCAGGTTAGAGTATGGTTGATATGATTTTGTTTTCCACATACACATAGGGGACTTCTGTTAGCTGTAGACAGTGTAAGATTATATCTGAGTGAGAGGGCATCAAAGAATTCCTGTTTGTTAAGGACGTACCCACATGCTTTTAGAGGGAGTGTGGATAACCAAATGGATGCTCCTTTTTCACTAAGGAGTTCTAATTGCCTTTGTGTTGATGGGGATACCTCATTCATAATAGTTTCACGTTGGTGTTTGTAAAGCTCTTCCTTACGCTTCTTTACTTCACTTATGATGTCATGCTGCAGTTCTTCGTTTAGTTGGAAAGTAGTTAGCTGTTGAAAAACTGCTTCTGTGAGCTGTTTTGTAGCATTTACTGAGTTAGTGTACTCCATCTCTGCTGTTGATGTACAGTCTGGAACGCTCAGCCCGCCCATTCTTGCGGGAAGTGAAGCTATTTTTCTGATTTGATCAGGCACAAAACTTTTGCCCATAATGGCTGGTATAAAATCTTCCTTGACACAATATTCCAAGAGTTTCAGATGGTCGGAAATCCCTGGGGTTGTACGGCAAACAAAGTTCCATCTTTTGGAGGTTCCATATATGAAAGCGGAGTAGGCTAGCTGGGGTTCGTTTGCAGCTATTTCGACGAGTCCAAGAATGTCTGCTTTCCAACTTTCGGTTTCCTTTAGTATGAACTCTTTTAGCCCTTCATCTGATCCGATATATGACCCAAGATATCGGTGGCCTTTGGTAGTGATCTGAACATCTGGAAAGAGTTCCTTAGCTTTGGTTGCATGCTCTGGTTTCACTATCAACCATGTCTTGCTGGGTTTAGGGTAATACCCATACATGGGACCATGATCTTTAAGGTCCTCCCACCATTTCGTGAGTTGATCAAGTTTACCCCCTGCTGCAGAGTCGTCAGCATACCAAACTTGTTTGGGATAAGTGTTGGGTTCCCTGTCTGGTTCTAGTTCTGTTTCAGGTTCTGTCTGTTTAACCTGGACTTCTCTGAGCAGAGGCATTAGGCTCAGTGCATACCATCCGAGTGCACAGGTATCTCCCTGTGTTGTTCCTTCCTGAGATTGTAAGAAGTCATCACTGTTGGGAGTGTTGGCAATGAATAGATTAGCTTCTTGTCTGTATGTGTTTAGGATGTAAGTGAACAGCTCTGGACAGGTGTATCGAAGATTCCTAAGGGCTGTGTTGCGATTTAATGCATTGAAGGCGTTTTCAGCATCAACAAGCAAGATCGCTTCTGTGGATTCCTCTTCAAAGATCTTTCTGACTGCATGAATGGCCGCTTCCACTCCTCCTTGTAAGCCACCACACAGTTGCATGGGTGCTGTGTTCATGATAATGTCCTGTTTCAATGTGGTCATCACTGCTTTTCCGACTATTCTTCTAAGGACTTCACCAATCCCAATGGGTCTAACCCCTGGGTCTTTATCAAGGGGGATGAGGCGACCTGCTATGTATGTTTTTAGGTGGTCGGGCTGTATCTTTTGGCAACACAGCTTTCTGAATTAAATTAAATTATCATTTTAGTGGAACTATGTAAATAAAATATGTAAATAAAATAAAAAGGGGATCGTTGCTAGCGTTAAAACTGTTTTAACCCTGCCATAGTCAGTTGAAAGTCTGATAGCATATGTTCCGTTTGATTTGACCAAACTAATGCCTTTCATTGCTTTATAATCGTTCAAAAGAAATCCTGAAATCGGCTAAAATAATCTAAATTCTT